CTCTCTCTCTCTCTCTCTCTCTCTCTCCTTTCCCGTTTTTGACACTTGTGACTCTATCCACATTCTAAAAAGCCTTTTCCTTCCAGGTGCTTTATGTCCTGAAAAATAATTGCCTTAGTTTGAACTTAGTTTTCTGAAATCCCCATGACAATACATTGCCTCCACTGAATTAAAAGTGGGTTGATTTCTGTCACGCTGAGAATAGTTTGGAATGGCTGGGTTTGGTGTGAGTGGCCATGTGTTAGGAATTTGGAAGCCAAGTTAATGCTCTTGACCTTTGGCTAGGCTTTGGGGTGTTGGAGCTATGAGATGCTCTGTCTGGCTTCTAGAGAATAGGGACATGACAATCTGCTATATGCTGATATGAATTTGGTGTAGCATCTTGATGTTAAGAACCAAATGCAGAGAACCTGATGTGAATTGATTACATCGATTATATTGAGTTATATTATATAATATGGGGTCTATATGGGGACAGGCATATTTATGCTTATTTTAATACTTTAAAAACATGGCCCAATAACTAGTAACTAATTTGATTGCACTCAGTAAAACATGAGACCAGCAACAGCCCTCTGGCCTGTTACATGCTTCAGGGACAAAGCCATTTACTCAAATTTTGCATCTGTAGATACCAGCATTATGTCACAGCCAACCTGGGGCCAGGACTCTAAGGTTTCTGAAATATTCATCTTTTTTCATAGAATTCTTGGCTGTGGTAGTGGTTAGGGGTAAAGGCCAACAAACCAAATCAAAGGGGTAAATAACATTTGGACCCAAGATCAGACACTTTAATCACACCTGGTGAGTTTTACTAACTAACGTGACATTATAACTAGAATTTCTTCAACTAAATTTGGATCCCCAGAGATCTAGGGGAAAGTTCATAAGGGAGACAGAGGGTGAGCTATCACTTCCTTTCCAGTCTGGAATGCTAAGCTATGGTGGAATGGTTGTTCATACTCAGGGAAGGAAGTAAAGGAAAAGGGGCTAGATCTTTGACCTTCAACATGGCACCACAGCAGCTATGGCAGGCAGGGAATGCCCTGTGGTGCTTCTGTGTCCTTCCTTACTCATTTCCTTCCTTAGCTGCTTTTCTGATTTGGGAGTGATGGGAAGGGCAGTACTCCACCCATCTCCAATTAGGCCTTTGCCTTGTATAGTTGCATCAATTTATACCATGTTTACTATAATTCACAGCAGATTTTTAAAAATCTCCTTTCCTTACCTCTACATTCTTTCTTTTAATTTGTGTACATCTTCATTACATACTTATCCTCACATTTTCTGTCATTTCAGGAAATGTGAAATGCCCAGACTGATACCTCTCTGTTGCTATCTCTCCACTTTTTCTAATTTTCTCAGACTCTTTCAGGTCTTACTTTATTAATGAAGTAGAGAGTACCAAGTAGGGAAGGGTGAGGGAGAGGAAGAATAAAATGTAATTTGATGGGAACTCTGAGTACAATTTGGATAGAAAGTTAAAGGATTTTCATTCATAAACTTTCACAACATTAACAATAGCCATAGGATTCATAGCTTACATGAACTCATAAAGATGAAAAGGGGCCTTTAAAAATCATTTTGTTTCAACACTTTATAAAAATTAGTTCTTGAGTGTATGACAGGTCCCTAGCTCATTGTGTCCCTAGCTGTTAACTCATTGCCTTGTTTGGTTTGTCAAACAAATAAATCTAGTCTAACTCTCTCATATTACAAATGAAGAAACAGGCCAGAGAGAAAGAGACTTTCTCAAGATCTATCTGTTTTACCACAAAATCAAGGGGAGTCTTTTTTTCTTCTAGAACTGAAATTGTTCCACAGTCAATACTAACGGAACTTTGGAAAGGCAGATAAAGAGTGTTACTATACTCATTGCCCTGACATATATACACATGTACATTCATTTACAGAGTCTGGGATTGCTTTGATTCACCCTTTAGTTCCAGCTTATAAAAATCCAGAGACAATGAAAAATATCAGTCTAGCTATGGAAATATGGCTGTCACCATTTTCACTCTTCCTGCCCCAGGGCCTACCCAGTGGGTATAAAGCAATCCCAGATTATTATTTCTGGTGAGGCCTACGTGCCCTAACTGATAATTCTGGATGAGTTCAAATGAACCCTACAGAACACAATAGCACATACCATCTAGGAGAGACTAAACAGATAATTTAAGCCAACATCTCTACATTATTCTCTGTTGTCCACTGTAGTAGCTACTAGCTACATGTGGTTATTTAAACTTAAATATAAGATAATTAAATTAAATAAAATTAGAAATTCTGTGGTACATATACACAATAAAATACTACATAGCTGTAAAAAAGAAGGAAATCTTGCTTTTTGTGACAGCATGGATGGACCTGGAGAGTATTATGCTAAGTGAAATAAGCCAGTCAGAGAAAGACAAATATCACATGATCTCACTTATATGTGGAATCTAATGAACAAAATAAACTGACAAAATAGAAACAGACTCATAAATATGGAGAACAGACTGAAAGCTGTCAGAAGGGAGAGAGGTTGGGGAGCTGGGTGAAAAGATGAAGAGATTAAACAAAAAAACCTCATAGACACAGGCAGGAATAAATGGTACAGGGGAATAAATGGTGATGAAAGAAGACTTGACTTGGGGTGGTGAACATACAATACAATATACAGATGATGTATTATAATTGTTCACCTGAAACCTGTATAATTTTATTAACCAATGTCAACCTCAATAAATTTCATACAAATTAAAAAAATTCTGTTCATCAATCACACTAGCCACATTTCAAGTGCTCACTAGCCACATATGGATAGAGGCTACTACATTGAACATCTCAGATTTAGAATAGATTTTAAAATTAATAACGTGTTTGAGTTAAGGAGTATCACTAGTACGAGGTCATATAATAAAGTGCCAAAGTTGGGAAAAGAACCCAGGTTTCTGGATTCCCAGTCAAGAGTAAGCAGACTCATTTTTACCCCCTTTGTATTTATTTCCAACTCAGTGTGGATCTATGGGCATAATTGAAGCATGTTGAGTGTATCTGACTTTATGTGAGGGCTTTGAAGTTTTAGGAGGAGGGCATCTAGTTAGCATGAATGAGGGAGCTCCTTTGCATGGATTTGTACAGTTCTTGTCTTTCTCCCCTGACAGGACCAAAGATAGAATATATATAAATTTTCAGTGAAAAGTAAAAAAAAAAAAAAAAAAAAAAAAAAAAAAGGTTTAAAAAAA